ACCACTCCTCCAGATGTGCGGAAAGCTCAGCTGTAGGCTCACTTACGTAAACCTTGTGATTGACCCTGGAAGAATGATGTCTTCTCAAACATCGATTACATTAGATTAACTGAGTCACTGGATCATCCCAGGATGGTTTTGACTGGGACTTTCGCACACCTGTAAGATAAGTACAGAGTTTCTAAACCAGTCAATACCAACACCCCAAACTCAAAACTGCAGGAGAATAAAAATACATGGCATATAAAATCCTCTGCCCTTCCTCCATTCCTTCATCTCCTTCTTCCTCTCTTCCTTCCTTCCTCCCTTCCCTTCCTTTATCTCTTCCTTCCTTTCCTTCCTTCTTTCCTTCCTTCCTTCTTTCCTTCCTTTCTTTCTTTCTTTCCTCCTCTCAACACCTCTTACCTTCCAAGCTCACAGGAAGAGAACCTGTACTGACCCAAGGCTGTTCTACCAATCTGGTTAGTTTAAAGGACTTGTCATTGGCATATAAGTAAATTAATTTATTTCTAGAGTCACATCTTACTCATCTCTAAAACCAAAAAGAAGGGGAAAACAAAATGGGGGTGGGCGAGGGGGTGGGAAGGAGCTTCTACTTCACATAGACACGAGGATTCAAGGAGCTTGCCGATAGAAAACACTGAAAATGATCCGTCACAGAAAACGTGTCTGAAAAACAGCTACTTATCATTATTATCGTTTTTTTTTTTTTGGTTTCATGAAGCAATCCTGGCAGTGCCATAAGCCTGCTCTGAGGCCTACTTCTCCTCTTCTTAGCACGCTTCTCTATTTCCTGGCAGAGAATTCTATGCTATGAAGCTCAGCTCCTTATTTTTCCCCAGCTAGGGTAACCGGTCCAGACCCTGAACAGCTCAACAGCTGCCAGTGTCCATTGCTCGCCTAAAGCCGGGGCCTCACAGATTGTGGGGCAGGTGATGGGCCATGGGCAGCAGAGGCTGAGCAAAAGAGACCCTTTCCACAATGACCCATTGTGCTGGAATGCTCTGGGGCAGCTGCAGCCTGTCAACACATACCAAGCACCGGTACAGTAGCCAGCATCTAAGCTGAGCAGTTCTCCGCATGCAGGGCGCCTCTCCTCTTTTTAATGTCCTCTCGGGTTCCAAATAATAAAACAGAATCGTTTCGAAATCCACCCCGCAACAGCAGCAAATCGGTTAATAGCAGTGATAATGGAGTCACCAGGTCGTAACCGAGCTGAAATCTCCAGTGAGGCGTGGGGCCCTTGGTCTCAGACTGAAGTGCAAAGAAGGAAATGTGTTCCCCACATGCACCTTCCCTGGTTCTCGGAGCGACTTAACTCCAGGATGGTTATCTGGGAGTCAGGTCCCAGCGAGCCTTAGCAGTTCTCACCTACGCAAGGAAGACAGCGCCTTTGCCTTCCACAGGACGTCTGCTCCGGACAGCACTGCTTCCCGAGGCCACATGCTTCTTTATATCCCCATAGATGTCACTGCGCTATGGAATGTAAGGAAGTGTGTGGTTTCGGCAAGTATTTCTTCATGGCCCATGGCTCCACCCAGAGAACACGCCGGGGACTTCCTTCTTTCTCCGCCATGCCACGTTCCCTGCCCGCAAGTGCCCTCTTCCCCGGCAGTACCCCAACACCACCTTCCCCCTCTACAGACTTCTCCCTCAGTCCTGGGTTTCAGGCCACCAACCCACCTGCCTCCTGGATGCGTTTCCTCACACCTGACCTTCGGGAAGAGATCACATTTCTTTCTCAGGGAATGACCTCTCACCCTCCAGCTCCTTCCTCTGCTCACATTGCTCCTGAAATGGATGTTTCTACAGGGCAAGCAGAATGGCAGTTCTAGGTGACAGATCTATAGAAGCTGCCATGTGACTTGTGTTATAAGCAGAGCAGACAGCGACTGGGCTCAGAAGCCACAGCCTGGGCAGAAGACAAGGCATCTCCTGGGCCTCCCGCCAAGGCGCCCCCCACCCTCAGGGTGTTACCTCTGGGCTACACTGTGTGAGGAAAGGTGGTGATGTTAAAACAGTCACGTACTCAGTCAATGCCCTAACTTCCTTTGTTCTCTACCCAGTCCCCAGTGTTCCCAGTTCTGACTCTCAAGTGGCTAAGGTCACACGGGAATGAGGTAGGCTCTACAGGGAGACCCTGAGGAGGCACCCTTGCCCAGCATACTGTCAGAAACATGAAAAGTCTCCCTTCCTCTTTTGAGTCCCCGTCCCCGGGGTTGGCTTCACTCTTTACACCGCTCTGCCTCTTTATTTTAAAATAATGTGTCAGGAAAAGGCTGGAACTGCATTAAACTTGCAGCCTATGTTCATAAGGAAAACAAAACACCAAGCATTTGGAAACGCATGCCCAGAAGCCCAGGAGGGGTGTGACTGAGTGTAACTGAGCAGCACATTGGAGGAGAAAAGGAAGAGGCCGGTGTGTGTACTTCCTCAACACACAGCAAGGCACTCAAAGATGAGCTCACAGAACGCAGTGGGCAGAAACTCTCGTGCTCCCCAGTGGGACACAGCGATATTGGTGGCCACCTACATCACTCTTTCAGGAACCAGGCAATCACCTAGCTACCATCAAAGGCATGGCATCCTATACTTGTGGAAATAGGCGGAAATGTGGAAGGGGGGGGGATGGACTAGAACTGGGCCAGCTACAGGACTGAGCACAGAGTCTTATTGCTTTAGATCAGTGCCTAGCAAACTGGATAGTGCTGGCAGACTGACTATGTTGTCACACTTGGAGGATTTCTGGCGTCTAGGCTGTGGGGACCAGGGATGCAGCAAAACATATACAATACACAGAGCATCCCCATAGCAAAGAAGGACCAGTCCAAAGTTTCAATGCCTGAAGGTCAAGAAACCCTGAGTTTGATAATAAGGTGTCTGACATTGGCATTTTCCAAAGGAAATTTCTGTCCTTTATTTTTTTTTTCAGATTTCGGTCTTCTTTATATACAATAACTGGATGCTTCAAATTGTGCTCCCTTCCAATGACAGCCTGTCTTTTTTCTAATCTTATCCACTATGCCCATAGATTTCCTTATTCTACCCCGGTGTTTGGTTTCATATCATCTGCTCTGAAATCAAGGGTATGTTATATGCACGGCTGTGTTGCTGAGGCTGGGTCAAAAAAAAAAAAAAGGTGGGTAAAGAAAAGGAGAGAGATGAGAAAACAGTGTTCAGAGTTCCTCTGTGTGCTCTTCCAGTATGGGCAAGACAGACACAAGACACGAGGGTAGACAGCAGCCACAAGACTCCTGTCATCAGGAAGAGGAGGGTGGGGAAGGTGAGATCGTAACTGCTGAACCAGGAGGAGTCACACCAAGGAGGCGTGAGACACAGAGAGACTGAATTGTTATCCGGTGCAGACCCTCCTGGAGTCGCACCATATCTCATGGCGTCTGTTTTCTCATCACTACATCTGAGGATGGTTTTACCCAGTTAACCCTTCCTTCGGTGCCTTGCTGAGTACTTGGAAGTGTGCGGTACCTTGCTGATTTCAGACAGGCCAGTTGTCTGGCCACCTCACTTCTGGGCCTTACTGGTGTTTTAACACATTCATGGATGAGTAAAAAAAAAATCTTTGCAGATGAACAATGGGACACACTCACCAGGAAAGATGGAATTGAAAGTGAAGTTCTTGACCTCAAAAGCAATCAGAATTGTCCCTCAGGCTCCCCTACAAGCCCGGCCAGGCTCCTCTATGCACCCAAGGGACTTAGTACACTCTTGATTGCTATTAAAATTCACAAGAAGCAGGCACACTAGGCATACTCGCCACTGAAAAAACAAACACGCTGACATTTCACAATGCTATTTGACTTCTCAATAGCAAACAAATAAATGAATAAAATCAAGAGAGCATCAGTGGAATTTGAACCCAGAAAAAAACGTGGTTCCGGTGCTATACACTTTCTTCTTAATGGCTTCTATTTATCAGGAAGAAAAAACAAAATGTCAGCCAATGCCCCCTGGGGAGAAAGCTGGTTTTCTGCAACCATTCCAACTATCTTTTCTGCCTCTTTCCCCTTCCGTATCAATATCCTATGAAGACAGCCACACCACATTTCTGGGGAGAGTCTCCATCTTAACCACACTTGATCTCACTTCTCTAGAAACAAGTCAACCAAAGTGTACCCCTTCTAGTTCAATGGTTATCAAACTTTAGATGCATCAGAATCATCCAAAGGGTAGATCATGAGTTTTGGGGGCCCATTCCTGTAAATCTTGGGGTGGGAAATGTTACTTTTCCTTTGCAGAGTCAACTTGTAAGTTCTTACATATTGGAATACTGGCTTTTTCATGATCTACAAGAACCAAGTTGTTTAAGTCTTCCTCAGTAGACTCTACTAGAGTCAGTTCTATTCATTCTTTCAAACCAAACAACTGTGATATCTATTCCTGGAAGAAAAATGAAGATAGTATGTTCACATAATAGAAAATTATCTAACAATATAAATTAGTGAATTGCAGTTACCACATTAATATGCATAAACCTTACAGATATCATTTAAGGTAAAAATACCAAACCACAGATGAATATTTATAATATGATACATTGAAATATATTGCTTGAAAACGTGCACAAATGGTAAACCCTATAAAGAATAGCATCTAAATTATAAGAAAATAAGTATCATAGTTACTGTATATTATCCCTAACTACTTACACTTAATTTGTAAGGAAAACATGACACATTTATAAAGGACTGTATGATGCACATTTGTATGATGCATACAAATACACAATGTCAATTTTATTTTAGAAGATGAAAGAGAGAAGATCCTACTGCTTTTTCCCATATTCTATAATTGCATGTCATTTTTGTCCCTAATGTTTCAATTTGAGGGAAAGAATAAAAGCTAAAGAAAAAAAAAACAAATAAAAATTGGAATGCAGAATACAGACTATGTGAGATTTCTTTCGAGTCATGTGAGAGGTCAGTCAGGGCAATGCAACCTCTGAGGAGTGATTTATGTTAACGTGCTTCTTTCTGTTACAGGTTTGGACATTCCAAAGACATCACACTAGAGGCTACAGTCACCTCGCAAGGGAGTGGCCCCCTGCTCTGGCTGGTCAAACGGAACCAAGTCCGTCTTCCTGAGAGGTTTGGTCCCCTTCAACCAGCTACAGCAGGGCTGGCAAAATTCAGTCCTCGAAGAAAAAGAAGAGAAGAGAAATTAGCTGCTACAGTCTTCCTTACAAAAAGCAATTCTGGTTTTGTCATTGTAGTCTCATACTCCCAGGGAGGAAGAAGAAAGGAGGAAACCTGGGTGAAAAAGAGATCATGTTCAACATGAAGAAATGTCTGCCTTTGCACCTGCAACTACAGCCATGCACATACCTTTCACATATACCCAATGATGATGCTAACGATGGAGCTTGGGCCAACCTTACTCCAGCCAGGGGCAAAACATGACAAATAGGAGACAGTCTCCTGCTCATAAGGACACAGAAGCATAAGGAGGTCATTGACCATGGAAATACAACACAACTCAGTGGAACTACAGGTCAGAATATGGTTGATCCAAGATGTAATTCTTACATAGTTCACTGAATCTGCCTGTGAATCTATGCAGACAGAGGACTTTGTGTGCACTGAAATTAAAATACACAGAAAGGGTTTCTGAAGCTTCCAGTAGCTTTTACTTGTAACTAAATGAAAGCCTGGCTTCCAGTTTGAATCCCACCCCTCTTGTCTATGAGCTGTGGTATGACCTCAGGCAAATCGCCTCTGCTAACTCTATAAAAACATTATTTGCTTCATCAGTAATTAGAAATGGTGACACCTATCTCATCATTGCTCTAAGATTTTAAAAAGATGTTTGTAAATAGCCAACGATAAGCATTCAAAGAATGCTTATCTTACTATTATGGGTTTTAGTAATATAATGGCAATGTTGCGCCCAGAGGCATGGCACCTTGAGAGGAAGAAAAAAATTTAAAGATGAAATTTCCAAAATAAATATAGGGTGCATTTATATTTCCACTATTGATTCTACAAGCATGCAGCATACATTCATCTGAGTATGCATTGTTAGTATGTAGTCAGTTTCACAAACACACACACACACACACACACACACACACACAGACGAGAGTCTACTGCCTGGGAAGATGTTGCTCTTGAGAGATGTTGAGCTTGTACTACAACTATAGAGCCTCCTGGGTCTGTGAAGCTGGGGAGCATGTATTCTAAAGACAAAGAGAAAATAAGCCTGCCCCTCTACTCTGAACCTATTTCCTCATGGGAAGAACGGAAATATCAACACTATGTTGTAGAGAATTCATGGGAATGAAAATGATGTTTAAAAGGTCTAATCCTAGGACTTGGTGCATAATGAGGTTTTATCTTGTTCCTAAAGCCAAATAGGTATTCAATAAACTTTTTCTAAAGTAAGTGACTGCATTTGTCATTGATTTATTCTAAACACAAACTGTAGAATTGGGAGGTTTCTGCTTAACTCTTTAGATGCACAACATTGGTTCAAACCAGTGGCAAGAGGATGTGTAGCAGGCCTATCTCTCCTTCCCCAACTTTATGGTGTGATGGAACCTTACCTAGAGCTAGGTACATGCACCACTAAGAGTGAAAGCAGGAGCATCTGAAGATGGCCATGTCCCTCTAGCCTGGAATGCACCCGAGGGAACAAAAAGGTTAAATCACGTGCAAACAGACTTGACATGATCAAATGTTAGGTGCACTGAACAGAAGCGACTTGGCTGTCAAGGAGGGAAGAAACCGGGTCCATAAAGATTAGTGGTGACTGGGTTAGACAACCGAAGAGTCAGGAAAAGGTCCTGTTCAAATGTGGGGTTTAAAGCCAAAGTGCTTGATGCATCCAGACAGGACTTTATAAGACTAAGATTAAATAATGTCCTTCTAGGTAGAAAGAAACCAACCCCACGCAGCTAGAGTTGGAGGAGACAACTATGCCTCCACTTACTGGGTAGCTTGGACTGCAACTATACCTTTCAGAGGTCAAAGACTTCTTGCAAGTATTGGAAAATGGACTGAATGGCACTTTCAACATCCCCCTGCTCCTGCCCTTGGTCAAAATATCTTTGAGGTTTGCAAGACAGAAATAGTTCTAGTCAAAGCCCCATTCCAAAACTGAGGTAATACACTGGGCTCTCTCTATATTGTATAGTCAAGTTTCTAGTTAATCGCTGTAAAACCAGGAAGGGAGCAAATAGAATTTGGTTCCTACTTCCCACTAGAGTGACAGGTGGGACATCTAAGAAAGTATGTTTTCTGATAAGTTTGTCTAAAGGTTCCTCAAAACAAAACTGTCCCTCATGCCAAATCCAGCAGCATCGAATCACTATGCATCCTGTCCCAAGCTGCTGCCACTTACTTTTCTTGTCACAGCCCCTTTTCAGGGCAGAAATCTAGGTTAAGCCACCCTGTAGGGCATGTGGTTTTGCTGTCAGCTGTGTGTCCCTTCATGTGTGTCGTGTTCCTGCACAGTCATCATTCCTGTGCTCTTTCTAACTGGCAGAGGATCGTGTCACTCCGGTGAATACACTGGCTTCGGGTAAAGCCCACAGCTGGCAAGAGTTAAATCTAGAAGGAAGAGCATAATGACATAAAAATGCTAAAAGGGCTTTTGCCCAGGAGGAATTGATGAGAATAGTTTGAGGCGAGTTACCCTGCAGATGGTCACAGGAAAAGGGAAATTCCATTACATGCAATTCATCAAAGATAGCATTTTTTTTATTTTACAAGGTCTCATGTGTACCCAGGCTACACACTCATGGTCCCTTGCTTCTGCCTCCCAAGTTTTGGGTTACCAGTGTGGACCACTACTCCTGACACAAAAATTTTCTTTTATAAAATTTTGTGTGTATGTATTGTGTCTTGTATATATGATGTCGTGTCTATATGCCTTTACATTACAGTGTGGGTACATGCATGCCACTGTGCACATATGGGATATGGAGGTCACCATTCCTTGTCTGAGAAAAGGCCTCTCATGGTTTGCCACTACATGAACCACACTAGCTGGCTGTTGAATTTCTAGAATTCTCTTGTCTACACCTCCCATGTTCCTGTAGGAGGAGGATTACAGACACATTACTGCACAGGCTTTTTATGTGGGTTCTGCCAATCCAAATCCAAGTGATCTGGCTTGCTAGGTCATGGTAATTCCCAGTGCTAGTAAGTCTGCTAACCAACAGGCAACTGTCATACTGCCAGGATACTTGTGTCTGCTCTGTAGATCACACTTCACCTGTACATACCATTATCTTCTCGGAACAGAAGCCTTTCTTCTTCTGTTAGCATTGTGTCCCCTGTCCACTATGCCCATTGTTATTGAAATTGTCCTTCAGCCCTGCCCACAACAGGACTCCACAAGCATCTTTCATGATTCCTTGGCACGGTCTGATATAAGCAGTCCCTGAGAAGGGGTTTGGACTGTGGCCTATAAAAATAGGGGATATATATTTGGGAGCCCTAGCCTGGAAAGCTGTGGAAGACCCCAGCTATTCTCAGTATTCCCTACCAGTTTTGGGGAAGAAACAGAAATGAAATAGTCAAATAAACAATGAAATAGAACACATAGAGTCCCTGAAGTCTTTAAATCCTGCCCTCAATTGTCCCCAAAGCCAAATTCTTTCATCTTGTATCCCTTTCCACTAAAGGCACTTAACACTAGAGTCTAGTGATAAACTCCTGTCTTGGGAACAATGGTCCTGAGTATCAGATTTATATTCATTGACCGTTAGGAGTTCATATCAAGACAGATCAGACTCATCATTGAGTAAAGTAACATGACCCATTTTGTTGTTCATTTATTTTTTAAATGTATGCCTTTGTATGTTGAGAAAAATGTGCACAAATCAGGGACAGAGGTCAACAGTAAATATTTCTTTTTTATGATTTTTTTATTCTTTTTTTTAAATTTAGATAAGAAACAAGGTTGCTTCACAAGTCAGTTCCAGGTCCCTCTCCCTTTCCCTCCCCTCCTCCCGTGCCCTCCCCCCCCCCCCCCCCGTTATCCCCTCATTCCCCCAGGGAGGGTGAGGCCCTCCATGGGGGTGTCCATAGTCTGTCATTTCATATAGGGCAGGGCCTAGACCCTTCCCCAAGAGTTCAGGGTGAGAGTGCACCTCACATTGTTCTATGGGAGTCCAAAGTCCGTGTGTATACTTGGGATGGGTACTGATCTGCTGCCCAAGGCTCAATAGATTACCTAGGCCTCCTCACTGACACCCAGATTCAGGGGGTCTTGATCAGTCCCATGCTGGATTCCCAGGCTGATGCCTGGGATTCAAGAGTTAACCTTTGTCTGGTCAGCTGTTTCTGGGGGTTAAACCAGCCCAGTCTTAATCCCTTTGATCATCAGTCCTCCCTCTCTGATACTGGCTTTCTTGAGTTCAGCTCAGTACTTAACCAGCCACTAAATGTAGTTTCTGTTTCCCAGACTCTCTGGCCATAGGATTGTAGGCTGGCACTCCCCAGATCTATGTCTAAAATCCATATATGAGAGAGTACATGCCATGTTTCTCTTTTTGTGACTGGGTTACCTCACTCAGGATGGTTTCTTCTAGTGTCATCCATTTGCCTGCGAATCTCATGATTCCATTATTTTTTTCTGCTGAATAGTACTCCATTGTGTAGATGTACCACATTTTCTCTATCCACTCTTCGGGTGAGGGACATCTAGGTTGCTTCCAAGTTCTGGCTATTACAGATAAAGCTGCTATGAACATAGTGGAACAGACATCTTTGTTGTATGAATGGGCATCTTTTGTATATATGCCTAAGAGTGGAGTTGCTGGGTCTTGTGGTAGGTTTATTCCCATTTTTCTGAGGAATCTCCATACTGCTTTCCAAAGTGGCTGAACCAGTTGGCACTCCCACCAGCAATGGAGGAGTGTCCCCCTTTCACCACATCCTCTCCAGCATAAATTGTCATTGGTGTTTTTGATTTTAGCCATTCTGACAGGAGTGAGATGGTATCTCAGAGTTGTTTTGATTTGCATTTCCCGGATGGCTAAGGATGTTGAGCACTTTCTCAAGTGCCTCTCAGCCATTTTAGACTCCTCTATTGAGAACTCTCTATTTAGTTCTGCAGCCCACTTTTTAATTGGGTCCTTTGCTGTTTTGGAGACTTGCTTCTTGAGTTCTTTGTAAATTTTGGAGATCAACCCTCTGTCAGATGTGGGATTAGTGAATATTTTTTCCCATTCTGTGGGCTGCCTTTTTGTCTTGCTGTATTGGCACAAAAATAGACAGGTAGACCAATGGAATCGAATTGAAAATCCGGGTATTAACCCACACACGTACGAACATCTGATCTTTGACAAAGAAGCTAAAAATATACAATGGAATAAAGAAAGCATCTTCAACAAATGGTGCTGGCATAATTGGAGACTGGCATGTAGAAGAATGCGGATCGATCCATGTTTATCGCCATGCACAAAACTTAAGTCCAAATGGATCAAAGACCTCAACATAAATCCAGCCACACTGAACCTCATAGAAGAGAAAGTGGGTGGTACCCTTGAACGAATTGGTACAGGAGACAGCTTCCTGAACATAACACCAGTAGCACAGACAGTGAGATCAACAATTAATAAATGGGACCTACTGAAACTGAGAAGCTTCTGTAAGGCAAAGAACAGTAAATATTTCTAAAGAGTGAATGTTTGAGGGAAGGCTTTGTGGGTTTTCTCACTTTTGCCCAATTTACCTATACTACTTGTAATTAAAGTAATACTGTTTTGAGTTTGTTTGAGAAAAGGATGTGCTATGTAGTCCAAGCCAGCCTTAAATTCTGTGTTTCTACCTCAGCCCTTCGAAGCACCAAGATTATAGGCATAAATCCCACACCTGGCTTTAAGATTTTCCCTTCCTTTTTTCTTTATGTTTCTCTGAGGCATGGACTCAGGTAGCCCAGTCTAGCCTTAAACTTTCTGTAACTGACAATAAATTCCTGATCCTCCTACCTACACTTCCCAAGCACTGGATTAGAGGAATGAGCCTCCATGCTGGACTTGAGATTTTTGTAGATGCATTTTATTTTTCTCAAGCTACACAAATACAGGTTTAAATTTTTAACATTTATGATTTCCATTGTTGAGCGCCCTCCACATTCCAAACCAATTAAAAAATACTTAAGGCAAGTACAGGTCCTCACTGAAAATGCAGTTTGGAGACAACCGGACAGATCTGCAGGTGTCCTACACACGACCTTCCCTCAAGCTAGAGATCTCTCTCAGGCAGGGCTAAGATTTGGCACTGACTTCCCCCAGAGCAATTCTCCTGTGTCTCTGTAAGGGTAGAATCTGAACGAAGATGGATGAGGCCACTGTAAAGTCCATTCCATCCAAGATCCAGAATGGACCCTACCCGGACCATCTCCTGTTCTAAGGAAAGAGACTCCACACATGCTCTCAAGAGAATCTTGCCTCTGAGAACATTCCTCTTCCTCACTAATGTTACCCATTTCCTCCAAAGTTTCCTCTGAGAAACACTTACAGTAACTGAATTTTATCCACCCCAAAATAATCTGCAGCTCTCTCCTCTTAGATATCCAGTAAGAGGCCTTTGTATGATCAGAGCTTTCAACTGAAATGCCAGGAACACTTGTTTTCTTAGGGGGTCACTTCATTAACTGCTAATCACTCACTACAGACCCTTCTCTGGTCACAGCTGAGAACAGCATTGACCTATGGGTACAAACATAAACACTTAGCAAGAAGTTTGCAAAGAGATCCAGTCAACACAACAGCAATACTAGGTACCCTGACCCCCACCCAGGACCTGTGACCTCCAAAACCATGAGCTTCTTAATCATGTTTACAGTACTGAGGGACTAGCAGTTAGACACATTCCCCCCTAGGCAGACAGACAGTGAGGGGAGCAATGGCTAGGTAATGAAGATGGTAAATGAACCAGCCTCAGAGTCAGCACAGAACATACCAGACACCAAATTCTCAGCACAAAGGAGGTTTGTTACCTTGGGGGTGGGGGAGAAGGGAGGGGTGGCTGACTCTGGATAAGGCAATGAGAGCTGCAGGTGTTTCTGCAGGGCTGTTTTATTAAGGAGAAAAAGGGAAGTAGTTTGTCCTAGGGTGAGTTGGTAAGTCCTGATTGGACATGATAGTCATTGTAGCCAAATAATGACTTTTGGTTGCTGGACCTTGGCGGTTTAGCCAGGCATAAGCAGCCAAATAAGGGAATAAGACCTTGGTGGCTAGTTTCAGGAATGCAATCTAAAAGTTTAGAGAGGGGGGAGGGAGGAGAGTGGGCAAGGGAAACCTGTTGGTGCCCTATTAGCAATGCTTTGGCCTGTTAGGGAGTCCTTCAGTAAACTTCCAGGATGGCCAGCTTCTCTCTCATCTTCTGATCCGAAACAACAGCCTGGCAGATTACAATGAAGGTCTTGTGGGCTTTTTTTTTTCTGTCAGTAGGCCGCCTGCTGATGGACTGCTGTGCTCAGCAAGTCCAAGGCCAGATCAGGACACGGTCACACAACAGCTGTGGGCCAAGCAGCCACCCTGACAGTCTTCAAACTGACCAACCCTAAATCAGGAGAGGAAGACCCTTCAGAGACTTAGAAAGACTCCACCCTCAAGGAAAGGCTGGCTTCCTTAGTCTGCTGTGTGTGCTTCGTCTCCCCTGACGAAAGCCTTTCTTCAGCTGCCAAGCCGGTCTGCTTCTGTCGGCTGTGTCTGCAATTTCTCTGCTTGCTACCTGCCCTGCCTTTTCATTCTTAGCAGAGAAAACAAACCAAATAGAGACCCCGAGACACTGACAATACCACCTCCGAATCCTGTGTCCTAAAACTCCAGCTTTCTCTCTTCACCTCCAAAGAACACAGCGGAAGTCATGTGGGCAGATCACTGGAAATGGTTTTTGAAATTGAGCCACACCTCTCTCTTGCATTCTGATTGAAATACAGCTGTAGTCTCGTTACAGTGACTCTTAATCCATCGAATGTAGAGCTTGCAAAGCTTCTCCACAGTCCTGTCACTCATTCAATTGGGTCCTTTGCTCCTGAAGAGCAAATGTTAACTTTCATAAGATCAGTTGTTGACCTTACTTCCCAAGCAACAGTCCTATCCAGAAAGTCCTTCCCAGACGTGTACCATGATATGGTGTCTTCTCTCTCCAACAGTTTCAGAGTTTCCAGTCTTAAATTCCGGTCTCTGTGCCTTTGGAGTTGGTTTCTGTATAAGGTGAGAAACGGGAATTCAGCTTCATCTCTTCAATCTGTAGCTAGACTACCGAAAACTGAACACACAACCCAAGAAATGAATGATCGGTGAAATGAATAGTTTTTAAAAAGAGGAAGTATAAAGTGGCCAATAACCACTGACAAAATGTCCAATCTCCTTAGTCATAATAAAAAACATAAACCTGACCTCTATCAGAATGGTGATCATTAAGAAAACAAATACTAATAAATGCTGACAGGGATATAGACCTTTTTATGCTGCTGTTGGGAATATTAACTAAATTAGCCAGTGTGGAAATCAATATAGAGATGTCTCCAAAAAAAAATGTATCTATCACACAGCCCAGCTAGCACACTCCTAGGTATTCACCCAAAGGACTCCAAGTCATCACATCAAAGAGACACTTACTCTCCAGTGTTCATCACAGCCCTATTCACAACTGCTGAGTGATGGAGCCAACCCAGCTATCCAACAACAGGGAGGCAGGGAAATGTGGTGCATTTGTATACACAGTGGAAATGTTTCCAGCCCTAAAGAAGAAAGTCATGTTATTTTTAGGACTATGGGTACAGCCGGAAATAATCATATCAAACAAAGTCAGCCAACCTCAAAAAGACAAATATTAAATGTTTTTCTCTTGTTCTCTCATTTGTGCTTCCAGGACTGTGTATAGATACATAAAATCACATAAGTATACATGAAATGAAACTGTATCTACAAAGAGAACTAACAGGAGTAGTGTTAGGTTGTAAAAAGGGAGCCAGGAGGGAAAATTCTCAATGTGAGCTATATGTGTCTGTGTGTCTGTGTGTGTGTGTGTGTGTGTGTGTGTGTGTAAAACACTTTTTAAAATTAAAAACGTGAATTTAAAAATTCCTTCAAACGGCACACATGAAATCTTGTGCTGTGACTCAGAACCCCAGAAGCTACTGAAGGAAGGAGCCTCAGGCATGTGTGGATGGCCCCTAGATGTGTCATCTGAGGCATTGTGCATATTTCCTTCTTTTAGACTCTGCCCCGGTCCCCATCCCGGTAGTCAGAGAAATTCTATCCAGCAGCCTCAGCTCAAAGTCATGTCCGTGTAACTGCCTGACCCTGCATGACTCAGCTGCTCAGCACCTGTGCCAGCCCTCATGGCTGCCGCTTTTCACCCCCCCCCCCACCCCCAATCTTGCCATCTCTTCTTCCAGAACAGCAACTGGAAGCATCTTGGAGAATGAGGAAATACCACTTCAGAAAAACCACCACCTGTTGCCAGGCTTCTCCTGGGCTCCCACACCAAGGACACTCAATAAAACACGCTAGCCAGAGAGATCCATGGTTCTTTTGACTCAGTCAAGCTGGAATTCTGTGCAGAAACGAAGGCACGTGCACAAACGAAGCAGCCACACTCTACAGCAGGAAGAAGTGTTCCCTCCTCTCCCCTCCCATGGCCTGTCCTCTGTTTTCCCTCCTCTCCTCAATTAGAGAAGTGAAGTCCATAGAAAGGGTAAGGGCTAGGTGGGTAAAAGTTCCTTGTATTACAGACATTCCTTTGACTTCCAGACTTTCCAAATGACGTCTTGAGTCCCCGTCTCTCATCAATGCACTGTGTTTATCACAGTGCACCTGTGCACAGAGTGGGGTATGCTGGGACATGACGGGGTATGGAAGAATATCCAGATAGAGAGAAAGGAAAAGGGAGGTGACTTTTTGTTATTATTCTTCTCTTTTTTATTTAAAGACTTTTTATTTAAATTACAAACAAGCTTGTTTGACATGTCAATCCCAGTTCCCTCTCCCTCCTCTCCTCCTCTGCCCCCCACCAACCACCTATCCCATCCCCTTTCTGCTCCCCAGGGAGGGTGAGGCCTTCCATGGGGGATCTTCAAAGTCTGTCATATCATTTGGAGCAGGGCCTAGGCCCTCCCCCGTTGTGTCCAGGCTGAGGGAGTATCCCTCTATGTGGAATGGGCTCCCAAAGTCCATTCGTGTTCTAGGGATAAATCTATGGGGCCATTACCAGAGGCCCCATAGATTGCCCAGACCTCCAAACTGACATCCACATTCAGGGGGTCTGGAACAATCCTATGCTGGTTTCCTAGCTATCAGTCTGGGGTCCATGAGCTCCCCCTTGTTCAGGCCAGCTGTTTCTGTAGGTTTATCTGGCCTGGTCTTGACCCCTTTGTTCATCACTCCTCCCTCTCTGCAACTAGATTCCAGGAGTTCGGCTCAGTGTTTAGCTGTGGGTGTCTGCTTCTGCTTCCATCAGCTACTGGATGAATGCTCTAGGATAGCATATAAGGTAGTTGTTAATTTCATTTTAGGAGAGGGTATTTAAGGTAGCCTCTCCACTATTGCTTAGATTGTTAGTAAAGGTTTCTACTTTTATGCACATGGTAACTTACAATTCTCACTCTGGCCTGTAAGAGTATGCACACAGTTATTTATTGATTATTTATAGTGGTGTGGCTTGGAGCCTACTTTGATCTGAAATCCATCACTAGGAGGACATGATTATATCCTGAATATTATGGGATAAGAGATAACGGTCACAGTGTGTGCCCAGCAACTTAGTTTCCTTTGTAGTATCAGCCTGAGGGAATTAAATAAAATTATAGAGTTCTACAACACAGCATCATTTGAGTACATTTTTTAAAAATAGATGTGCATAAAACAACATACATTTTACAAGAAGCAAAACCAGATGCAGTGGGTTCATTCTAATTCATGCCCGGGATGCAATGGCAGATGAGAAAAGGATACAGGAGTGGAACAGAAAAGGAAGAGGGGCTGAGAAAGAGAGGCATCAGGAAACTTGTGTTTAACATGCTGAGAATGACAGGTTCAACCCTATGGTCTAAAATAAGGGCGATTCATGAAGACACTTGGGTCTGAGGAGATGGCTCAACGGGTACATGAATTGATGTGCAAACATGAGGATGTGGGTTTGGCCCTCCGCATACCACATGAAAGCCTGGCAGCATACTCTGTAATCTCAGATGAAGATGGAAAGTGTGGGCAGGAGGAGACTGGAAGATCCCTGGGACTTACTGTCAGTCTAGCAAAAATAATGGGCCCTAGGTTCAGTGAGAGATGCTATCTCAAAAATTAAGGTAGATAATGATAAAGAAAGACACTCAAAGTCAACCTCTGGCCTCCACGGGTACACTCATGTGTGTGCACACCCATACACATACACACACACACACACACACACACACACACACAGTTTTTAAAGAACCTGAAACATAATCTATTTGTTTTCAAGATTTTTATTTTAAATGCATACCTGTATGTATGTGCATCATGTGTGCACTGGGTACCCTCAGAAGCCAGGAAAAAGTGTTAGGTCCTTGGGGACTGGGGTTACAGATAGTTAAGAGCTACCAGGTAGGTTCTGAGAATCTAACCAAGGTCCTCTGGAAGACAGCTGGGTCACTCCAAGTCCTGAATATATTTTTAACTATCTACTAAATTTTAAAAAATAGGCTCTTCCTATAAATAAACCTACACCTGACTGCCCCAACCCTTCTTTGGTTTTCACCTCCCTCAGTATCTACTTGTGCAAACAGGAGTAAGAGATAGCTGTGTGTATACCATGCCTCCAGCAGTCATGGGATGAAGTGGAAACAGTCACCAAAGCTGAACAATTGAAAGCACAGATCGCTTGTAGAATGGGCCATCAGGATGCTGAACTTTGGAGATCTGACACGAAGATGTTAGGACAACACAGGTTCCCTAAATAACTGCCTACAATACTCCCAAGCCATTTAATTTACCAGTCATGATTTGATTTTCTGTATCTACTTATGGGGAAATCAGTAAGTGAAAAGACAATTTTGTACTTACGTGAATATTCAGTAGGACCAAAAGCCAGAGCATAATACACATAGCATGCCCCTCCCTCAGGCACACATAGTGTTGTGCCCAAGTTCTGAACCCCAAAATCACCAAGAGACCCATTTCCATGAAAAAGCAAAGAGTCTTCTATTGTAGTTGTTTAACGAGCTAACCCCATTAGCTCAGGCCTTTCATCCATTCACCACGGGGGATGGCCCCTTCATTGGCTTCTTTCAGAAGTTATAGAACATCTGCTAGACAGTAGGTGACAGAAATAGGTACAGTTTTCAGTGTTTGAAATAAACTTATCACCATGACTAAAACTCCCAAAGACTTTGTGTACTATAAATAGACAACAGCATAATTGAGATAATATGACAAAAACGATGTATAAATATGTCTTAAAGGATCCAGCTCCCTGCGCCCCCTGCTTTAGCAGCCATGACAGACTAACATGTGCCTGCCTGACCTTGCCCCTCCTGTTCTACTCTCTAGGAGGTCAGATACCTTTGTGGCAAGGAACCAATCACAAGTTAGTTGGCAGGGCTGTGCTTTCCGACTCTGGGTGGGCTTTAAGTACAAGTACACAACAGTGTTGTGCACAGCATAGCAACCATCCTGGGAGGGCCTATAGGCCGTAACAACCAGTTGACCAATCAACACAGGACAGGTCGTCCAAACCCGGAAGCACACCAATCCTGAGACTGTTGCATACCCCCTAGATATTCCCCTTATGGTACCTGATATATTCCCAGCCTTGTGGTTTCTTGGTGGTCTTTCTACATCCATCCACTGCAATAAATGGATAAAGGGTCCGAGTTAATGGGGTTAGCTTGTTAAACAACTACAATAAAAGACGCTACTTTTGCATCAAATTGAGCCTGGGTGATTTTGGGGTTTCAGAATTTGGGCACAACAATGTCTAAAGTTATCAATGTACTTTTGGTAGGAAAAATGTGTGACTGTGAATTTTGAAATAAATTATGTAGGATTTTCTTTCTTTGTCGTCTCTGTTAGACTAGCCACAGAGAAATTAGAGATGGAAGAGAGAAAAGTTTTAAAAGTCTTACAAAAGAAGTATTACTTTAAATTTAAACCTTTATTCCAAATATAAAAGCAATGGCTTTTCATTGTCAAAGATATCTACCCTCCTTTCAGTGTATTTGAAATACATGTTTTAGGAACACCATAGGAACAATTTTTTCAAAATTCCACATAGGAATAGAGACCTTGGAGGATGCTGGTTACTGGCTTGCTCCTCTGGGTTTATGTCTTAGTGTTCTTCTGCTGTGAAAAGACACCTTGACCCAGGAAATTTTTATAAAAAGAAAGCATTTAACTCAGGGCTGACTTACAGTTTCAGAGGCTTAGTTCACTATCATCCCAGCAGGGGGCATGGTGACATGCAGACAGGCATATTGTTGGAGTAGTTGAGGACTTTGTGTCCTGATCCTCAGGCAGTAGATAGAGAGATCAAAAGCCTGGCCCAGTCTTTAGAAACCTCAAAGCACACCCCCAATAACACACTTCCTGTGGCAAGGCCACACCTCCTCTGACAAGGCCATACCTCCTAATCCTTCTAATCCCTTCAAACAGTTCCGCTCCTGCTGAGCAAGCATTCAAGTAGGTTACCCTGTGAGGGCCATTCTCATTCAAACCACCACCACCTGCTCAGTCTACTTTAGCATAAAACCCAGGACCACCAGCCCAGGGGTAGCCCCACCTACAATAGGCTACTTCCCCCCCACCAATCACTAATTAAGAAAATGCCCTTCAGGCTTGTCTGCTTACAGTCTGATCTTGTGGAAGCATTTTCTCAATTAAGGTTCCCTCTTCTCAGATGACTATCGCTTGTGTCAAGCTGACATAAAACTAGCCAGCAGAGAACTCATAAATATTAAATAAGATGGTCCATGCAAAGCACTTACAATGACCCTGGTCATCAGTGCATGTTCACTAAATACTAGCTATCAGTATTATAACCTGAAGACAGAGAAGATGATATGTACTAATAAATTCCAGCTTCGTCAAGAGTCTCCTAGTGATCATATGCTGGAGGCATAACAGGAGCAAATTACTGTCTGTACTGGTGGCTTCTGCTATTTCTCAAATTTGCCACCAGATGACAGCAGTTGACAACAGGAAAGACAGTTCGGGGCCAAGAGAAGAATCCGTCCTTCCTCTGAAGCATTGAGAGAGTCTTTTCACAGCGCCTATGAAGCACGTGTGTATGCAGGCCTGTTGAAGAGTCAAGCCAATCAATGCCGTTCCCCTCTGGAACTTAGTGGAGGATAACAGCTTTCCTCACTTAGTACCAGGTCAGGTAGACAATTCTGTGACAAAAGACAGATGAACAGGAATCATATTTATTTAATAGTTGGATGGCATGAAGGCCTTCAGAAATGAGGACTCAAACATGCAGAGAAACTGTAACTGATGGTGCTAAGTCTGGTAGAAAACAGTAGTTAGTGTGTAGGGAAACTTCACCGCAGGAAAATGGAGGTGAGCTGATGGTAAGAATGGGTACTCAGATAGGCACCTTTGTTCTGATGGTGTCTTCCTACTGTGGCCCTTCCCACAGGTACTGGACACCTAAAGGCCTTCTAGAGAGAAGATGGAATCATAGGCTGTTCTGATTTTTCCATCTTATTTCAGAGGCAAGGGGTTCTGGTTTCCGTGACTGGTCTACAGAAAGAGAAAGTCTGATTCCTACAATCTGCTTAGAGGTAAAAGCAGACTAACAGAAGAGGGTCAAAGCAAGAGCTATAGCCCCCGCTGCTACGCCCTCCTGATCTCCCACCTTTCATACCACTGCACATGCCAAAGCCCCATACTTTGGATAGTCATGTCAGAGCCCCAATAACTTCCACTTCAAAACATATGCTGCTACAAGGATTTCAACACAGAAGAACACATTATTAACATGTATGTTATTGCTAGGCACTTTGAGGTAATAATGCCAAAGAGGGATTAGGATTATAGGATTCACCCTAAAACTGAATTTTTCAACATGGGTATGCCCATTGGAAAAAGTGATTGTTTGCAATAACCTCACACATTTGCAAACAGAAAAAAATGCAGAGAACAGTCTTGAATGACTGTGGCTTAGGTTTTAAATTGACTTTAATTAATTTTAATTTAATTTTGTATCTGTAGTTAAAAATACAAAAACACACAGCATGAAATTTCCTGTCTTAATCATTTTTATCTGTACAGTTCAGCCCAACTGTCTCTTTTGAACCTTATCTTACAAACTGAAACTCTACCTCATTAAACAGCAGCCTCCCATTCCCAGTCTTCCCTGCTGCTGTCAACAGCCACAAAGAAAGCCTGTAGAGGAGCAATGAAGAGCAAATGGAAAGGTTTATACGGAACGCGGGGTTGCATGCATCTGAGGTGACCCCGGGAAAGACAATGCCCATCTGTCCATCTTAAATGATGCTGCCAGTGTCTGTAGGCAGCCCTTACAAGAGCAAGGGAGTAGAGGGAGAGAGAGCGGGAGGCTGCTGCTGTAGAGAAGAGAAAAGACAACGCCTCCTGAGTTCTTCAGTCCCATAGATCCGCCTCGGGGCTGCAGCCTGCCCAAGTTGGAAGTTTACTGAGATTGAGAGATCGGGATAAGAAAGCTAGGTTCAAATTCTGCCTCTGCCACTTGTCACTCTTTTAACTAGATTTCCTGGAACCTCTCTAAGCCTTACTCCATGGAGATGGAAGCAACAGCACCAGCCTGAGAGAAACACAGACTGGGTGAACTTTAACCAGTGAGCACTCCGACATGTTAGCCACCACGAAGAGTACTGCACTCACTGCAAAAGTATGCCACGTTGTGAGGATACAGTTTAGAACAGAATAGAGATGTCAGCTCCAGACCTCAGATACAGACAAGGGAACAGAGGAACTATGAGTGGGAGGATACAGAGTAACCAAAAGCCTGTGGACTTCCATGGGAGGGATCTCCATGCAGTGAGAAAGAAAGCACAGGCTGCCCTTAGAACACTGGACTCTGGCTTGGAATCAATACGGTAAGCATGGTTGATGTGGAATGCCTTCCACACAGACAGCTACCCACTGTATCTTGACAGTCAGAGGCTAGAACTAGAGGGTTATAAAAAGGAGGACTGAGATCAGCCCTTCCAAGACCCCAACCCCAGTGAGTCCAGCTTCAGGTGAGATTGGGTCTCCGGCGGAGACCACCTGTCCAACACCCATCCTCTTGATCTTCCGGGGGCCACTCCAGGCATCCAGAAGACCCGCCCACACAGGAAAGACATCAGCCCTTCCAAGACCCCAACCCCAGCGAGTACAGCTTCAGGAAAGACATCAGCCCTTCCAGGCCCCAAACTCCGTGTCAGCAGCCCCAGCTTCAGTTTCAGGAAGGAAGGAGACCAGTGGAGACGGAAAGACCCCACCAGCACCCACTGGAAGAAGAGATGGGAAGAAGACAGAATAAGAGCTCACTGAGCAATAAAAACACCAACATGACCCCACCAGAATCTAGGGATCCAACACCAGCAAGACCCGAAAAGCACTACACAGACGAAGAAGAGGAGACAGACCTTAAAAATTATTTCATGAAGATGATGGAGACCCTCAAAGAAGAAACAAGGAAATCCCTTAAAGAAATAGAAGAAAAAACAAACATAAAATCCATGAAATGGGGGAACATTTCAAGAACTAAACAAATCTCTCAAAGAATCTAAAGAGCACCAAGAAAAAACAACCAAAAAAATTAAGGAAACAACTCAAACAGTTGAAGGATTGAAAGCTGAAATAGAAACGATAAAGAAAACACAGAATGAAGGGATGCTGGAAATAGAAAAGCTGGGTAAACGATCAGGAACTACAGATGCAAGTATCACCAATAGAATACAAAAGATAGAAGAGAGAATCTCAGGTGTTGAAGACTCATTAGAGGATATAGAGTCGTCAACCAAAGAAAATCTCAAAACCAACAAATCCTTAACACAAAATATCCAGGAAATATGGGACACCGTGAAGAAGCCAAACCTGAGAATAATAGGTATAGAAGAAGGTGAAGAAATACAACTCAAAGGTACAGAAAACATATTCAACAAAACCATAGAAGAAAACTTCCCTAACCTAAAGAAAGATATGCCTATGAAAATACAAGAATCTTACAGAACACCAAATAGGCTCGACCAGAAAAAGAAGTCACCTCGCCATATAATAATCAAAACATCAAACCTACAGAATAAAGAGAAAATATTAAGAGCAGCTAAAGAAAAAGGCCAAGTAACATACAAAGGCAGACCTATCCGAATTACACCTGACTTCTCAATGGAAACGTTGAAAGCCAGAAGATCCTGGACAGATGTCCTACAAATGCTAAGGGAACAAGGATGCCAACCCAGACTACTATATCCAGCAAAGCTCTCAATTACCATAGATGGAGAAAACAAAATATTCCATGACAAAGCCAGATTTAAACAATACGTATCCATGAATCCAGCTCTACAGAAAATGCTAGAAGGAAAACCTAGAGCCAAGGAAGATAACTACACTCACAAAGACACAGGCAATATATAATCCCACTTTACAAAACACCAAAAGAAAAAGGGAGGAGAAACTACACGAAATAACTTCACTAACAATAAATCAAGCACAAACAAGGATCATCAATCAATGGTCATTAATATCCCTCAATGTCAACGGCCTCAACTTGCCTATAAAAAGACACAGACTAGCAGAATGGATACGAAGACAGAACCCTTCCTTCTGCTGCATACAAGAAACACATCTCAACATCAAAGACAGACGTTATCTCAGAGTAAAGGGTTGGGAAAAGATCTTCCAATCAAACGGTCCCAAGAAACAAGAGGGTGTAGCAATCCTAATATCTAACAAATTAGACATCAAATTAAAATCAATCAAAAGAGATGAAGAAGGACACTTCATATTCATCAAAGGAAAAATACATCAAGATGAAGTCTCAATTTTAAACATCTACGCCCCAAATACAAAGCCACCTACATTCGAGAAAGAAACATTACTAAAGCTCAAAATGCACATAAAATCTCACACACTAATAGTAGGAGACTTCAACACTCCGCTCTCACCGCTAGACAGGCCCTCCAAACAGAAACTTAACAAACAAACAAAAGAACTAATAGAAGTTATGACCCAACTGGGTCTAACAGACATCTATAGAACATTCCACCCAAATACAAAGGGATATACCTTCTTCTCGGCACCACATGGAACCTTCTCTAAAATAGACCACATACTTGGCAACATATCAAACCTCAGCAGGTACAAAAAAATTGGAATAACTCCATGCATCTTATCTGACCACCATGCTTTAAAATTAGAATTCAACAACAAGACAAATTGCAGAAAACCTACAAACTCATGGAAATTGAATAATGCTCAACTGCACCATCCCTGGGTCAAAGAAGAAATAAAAAAAGAAATTAAAGACTTCCTCGATTTCAATGAGAATGAAGACACAACATACCCAAACCTATGGGACACTTTGAAAGCAGTGCTACGGGGGAAGTTCATAGCACTAAGTGCCCACATGAAAAAACTGGAGAACAGTCATACTAGAGAATTAATAGCACAGCTGAATGTTCTAGAACAAAAAGAAGCAAACTCCCCCAGGAGGAGCAGACACCAGGAAATAATCAAATTGAGGGCTGAAATCAATCAAGTAGAAACCAGAAAAACACTGAGAAGAATCAATGAACAAAGAATTGGTTCTTTGAGAAAATCAACAAAATAGATAAACCTCTGTCCAAACTAACCAAAAGACAGAGAGAGAGCATGCTAATTAACAAAATCAGGGATGAAAAAGGGGACATAACAACGGACTCTGAGGAAATCCAGAGAATCATCAGGGCATACTTTGAAAATCTGTACTCCACAAAATTTGAAAATTTAAAGGAAATGGACAATTTCCTGGATAGATATCACTTGCCAAAACTAAATCAAGAACAGATAAACAATCTAAACAGACCTATAACCCCTAATGAAATAGAAGCAGTCATCAAAAGTCTCCCAAACAAAAAAAAGCCCAGGCCCAGATGGCTTCAGTGCAGAATTCTACCAGAAATTCAAAGAAGAGCTAATTCCAATACTCCTCAAAGTATTCCACACAATAGAAGCAGGAGGCTCACTGCCAAACTCTTTCTACAATTACCTTGATACCCAAGCCACACAAAGACACAACTAAGAAAGAGAACTGTAGACCAATTTCCCTCATGAACATTGATGCAAAAATACTCAATAAAATACTTGCAAACCGGATTCAAGAACACATCAGAAAAATCATCCGCCATGATCAAGTAGGCTTTATCCCAGGAATGCAGGGATGGTTCAACATTAGAAAATCTATCAATGTAATCCACCATATTAACAATCTGCGAAAGAAAAACCACATGATCATCTCACTAGATGCTGAAAAAGCCTTTGACAAAATCCAACACACCTTCATGATAAAGGTCCTAGAGAGATCAGGGATAACAGGAACGTACCTGAATATAATAAAAGCAATATACAGTAAACCAACAGCTAACATCAAACTAAATGGAGAGAAACTCAAAGCAATTCCTCTAAAATCAGGAACAAGATAAGGCTGTCCACTCTCTCCATATCTCTTCAATATTGTACTTGAAGTTCTAGCTACAGCAATAAGACAACAAAAGGAGATAAAGGGGATACAAATAGGAAAAGAAGAAGTCAAACTTTCACTATTTGCAGATGATATGATAGTTTACATAAGTGACCCAAAAAACTCCGCAAGGTTACTCCTAGAGCTGATAAACACCTTCAGCAATGTGGCAGGATACATGGTGAACTCAAAAAAATCAATGGCCCTATTATATACAGATGATGAAGTAACTGAGAAAGAAATCAGAGAAACATCACCTTTTACAATAGCCAAAAACAGCATCAAATATCTGGGGATAATGTTAACCAAAGAAGTAAAAGACCTGTATATCAAGAACTTAGTGTCCTTAAAGAAAGAAATCAAAGAGGATACCAGAAAATGGAAAGATCTCCCATGCTCTTGGATTGGTAGGATCAACATAATAAAAATGGCAATCTTGCCAAAAGCAGTCTACAGATTCAATGCAATCCCTATCAAAATTCCATCACAATTCTTCAAGGACCTGGAAAGAACATTAATCAACTGTATATGGAAAAACAAAAGGCCCAGGATAGCCAAAACAACCCTATACAATAAAGGAACTTCAGGAGGCATCACCATACCTGACTTCAAGCTCTATTAAAGAGCTATAGTCCTGAAAACAGCTTGGTATTGGCACAAAAATAGGCAGGTAGACCAATGGAACTGAATCGAAAGCCCTAATTTTAACCCACACACCTATGAACACTTGATTTTTGACAAAGAAGCTAAAACTGTACAATGGAAAAAAGAAAGCATCTTCAACAAATGGTGCTGGCATAACTGGGTACTGGTATGCAGAAGACTACAGATAGATCCATGTCTATCGCCTTGTACAAAACTTAAGTCCAAATGGATCAAAGATCTCAACATAAATCCAGCCACACTGAAACTTTTAGGAGAGAAAGTAGGAGATACAGGAGTTGGTACAGGAGACCACTTCCTAAACATAACACCAGTGGCACAGGCACTGAGATCATCAATTAACAGATGGGACCTTCTGAAACTAAAAAGCTTCTGTAAGGCAAAGGAAACAGTCAAAAAGACAAAAAGGCAGGCCACAGAATGGGAAAAGATATTCACTAACCCTAAATCTGACAGAGGGCTAATCTCCAAAATTTACAAAGAACTCAAGAAACAAGTCTCCAAAACACCAAAGGATCCAATTAAAAGGTGGGGTACAGGACTAAATAGAGAATTCTCAATGGAAGAGGCTAAAATGGCCAAGAGACACTTAAGAAAGTGCTCAACATCCTTAGCCATCAGGGAAATGCAAATCAAAACAACTCTGAGATACCATCTTACTACTGTCAGAATGGCTAAAATCAAAAACACTGAAGACAATTTATGCTGGAGAGGATGTGGAGAGAGGGAACACTCCTCCACTGCTGGTGGGAGTGCCGACTCATACAGCCTCTTTGGAAATCAGTATGGAGATTCCTCAGGAAAATGGGAATTAATTTACCACTAGACCCAGCAATTCCACTCTTAGGCATATATCCAAATGAGGCAAATTCATACAACAAGGGCATCTGCTCCACTATGTTCATAGCAGCATTATTTGTAATAGCCAGAACCTGGAAGCAACCTAGATGCCCCTCAACTGAAGAGTGGATAGAGAAAATGTGGTACATTTACACAATGGAGTATTACT